ACTCCCGCCCATCCAGTACAAGAGATGCAAGGGCCCAGCCTGAGGCATGAATATCCCCTAATTCCCCAACGAAATCCTCGAAACACCCACCGCGAGTGCGCAATGCCCTTGCTTGGACCGATGTATTGCTTTCTACCCCGAACATACAAAAGAAAGAAAGAAAGAAAGAAGAAGAAGAAGAAAAAAAAAAACAGATAAACCTGTCATTGCATATCGCCTGCTTGCTGCCTTGCAACGTTCCTGCTCCCTCATTCCCCTACCATCGACAGACGACTGCGAAATACCTCAACATCCTTCGGAGCTTCCGAGGGCACAGCCCCACCGTTTTCTGCCCTTCTCCATTTCGTCTTTCTCTGAAAGACGGCACGGCAGACTCGACCCCGTTCGCGTCGTCCCCGTCCTTCCTTCTGTCCTGCGACAAGAAAGCCCTCACAATGCACCTCCCCTGCCTTCTTTTCATCGCAGCCGCTCTCGTCGCCACTCAAGCCACTCTAGTCAACGACACCGACCGCGACGCCGATGTGTATCTGAACACAGTCGAGCACCAGGCCTGGGTGCAGGAATACGGCAGGAGGGGATGCGTTTATGCGAACCGAGTGCGTGCGCAATACGGCAAGCATCAACTATACTACAGCGGCTCCTTGACCGATCTCGGCGCTCGCCATTCTCGCTGGATGGCCTCCTCCAACATTTTCCAGCACCAAAACCTCAACGGCCTCGGCGCCTGGGTCGGCTCCCACTGGCTCCGCGTCTCTGCTGAAAACATCGCCATGTCGACTCCTCGTTCGAAAGACGCCAGTTGGGATGCTCATCAGCAATGGTACCACAGTCCGGGTCATTTTCGCAACATGGTCAGCCCCCGTCACACTCACTGCGGCGTCGGAATCGCATATGACAGAGGCGGCCGGTGGTGGGGCACCCAGCTCTTTGGCTACAATCCGAGGATTGGAAACGAAGGAGGTGCAGCATCTGCTCCGTCTCCGCCGAAATCCAAACGCGCTCCAGCTCGCGCGCCTGCCCGTGCGCCTGCCCGTGCGCCTGCTCGAGCACCCACATCTCCCCCGGCACCGGCGCCAAGACCCGCTTCTACACAAGGGCCGGGGGGTGGTCTTGACCCCACGGTGGCGTCTGACGTCCAGAATTCGTCGCCGGGGAGCGCGCTTGACAAGAACAGTCTCGACCCCGAGCTTTCGGGATTTTCTGCTCCGAGCCTCTAATGGTATGCAAAATGGAGGCGGGGATGCTTTGAGAGACAATGAACAAAGAGTATTACTTTCTGTAACTATGGATAAAGTGCCCAACTCTATGTCGTTGCTAGAGTTTCTGACTGTATTATGGTGATTCTATTTGTTGCGTCAGTAAAGAGCGAATAACTTTCTGGGGAATGCTTGAAGCCAGTACTGTGTGGCGTTTCGGCAGTACAGTGCAGTGTTTTGTGCGGACTCTGGTAGGTGAGAGGACATTCTTCATCCCAGCATACTGCCAGATGTTAACATCTGACATTAGCTGGATACGTCATGTGTTGCAGATGCTCCGCTCAGAGACAGATGCTGGGAGATTACACGCAAGGCAGCTCTCTAGCTTGCAGCTTTATGGCCGGGCTTGTTAATGACTTTGGGCATCATAGGAATGGCCCAGAGACAGACCTCAGGTGTCGTGAATTTATTCTGTCGGTCGGACGCCACGTGTTTACTGTTACTGTAAACGAAATTGTACAGTACTGTACGATTCCTGAATTTCGACACTCTCTAGAGAGATGCGGGTCAACTCTCTCTCTCGTGCGTTGTTCTGCGGACATGCATTGCTCTGCGAAGAGATTGGATTTGTTTCTCCTCCCTTTCTGCATCAACTTGGTCCTTCAAACTGCCTCACAATGCATTCATGAGAGAGTGATTGGCGGTGTTAGCTTTCTGCACTCTGGGGCGGGCCAACATGCCGCCGCATCCTCGAGACAGGGTAAGGTGGATCTCACAAGCCGCCCACTCAACATCACAGACAACAGCGTTTTTTTGTTGAGCTTGCTCTTGCGCAATCTTCGGAATGGTGTCTCCTTCAAGATGGGCCTTAACGCAGCTGTGCTCTGAAACTGAATATGTTTACAAAGCTCTACAGTATGATGTTGCTACCAAAACAGAATGGACGCCTGCGGCATGCTCAACTAGAAAAGCGAAAGAAATGTCTTCCATTGAGTTGGCAAGCAGAATTGGCGGCCTTCCCTCTTCAGAACATGGCGCAGGAAGGTGAGATAGGGCTGCCCTTGCTGCTTTTGCAAAGCGTTCGAATTAATGCAGGTGTCGTTCGCGAAGGAACGCGTCGACGTTGCTGCGGGAAATGCGAAACAACAGGTTGCCAGCCAAAGGTTAATTAGAAATGGGTAATGCCTACGCGAACAATGTTTCTAGTTAAAAATCAACGCATGCCACTGTCTTGTACCGAACAGACAGTGCTATCCTGTAGACTTTGCAGAGAAACGAGACAGCTCTGAATTGTGCCCCCATGCGTCGCGCGCGGCAAGCTCAGCATCCGCTTCACCGTCAAGCGAATAGCAGGATCAAACATACACAAACACACACACACAAACACACACACACACATAGCCCGAGCAGGCAGTCGTTCTGAAAACGTCATTCCAAAAACGTCATTCCAAAAACGTCATTCTGCAAGCAACCATCCAGCGAACGGGCAGCAGCATTGAACGACTGGAGGCCTCGATGAAGCTCAACTTTCGCAGCGTGGACAGCGGGGGCACTCTCGCGCACGGGGTGACGCCTGTGTTAATCCCGCCTCTTTCGAGCGGGGCGCTCTCCTCACGGTCGGCGCCTGCACAAGGACAAGGGGCACTGGCGGGCAAGGAGGGGAGCGGAAGCGGGTCGGGGCACATCACGGGCGGGACGGCGGGCTCAAGTTCGCGGACGAGGCGATGTAACATCTCCTGCGGGACCGGGATGCTATGCGTGCTGGTGGTGAGCGTGGTGTGCTTGCTGCCCAGCGTGCTGCCGGCCGCCGTGCGACATGTGGAACGGCTGGTCGACTGGTCCGGTGTGCGCGCGCAGGGGGCGCTGGGGAGGGCGACGGAAGTCGGCAAGGGAGGGGGAAGCGCGGCGGGAAGCGCGGCGGGAGGGGGAACGGGGTCGAGGGCGCTGGTGCCGACGGTGGAGGAGAGACGGGAGGAGAGGGGTGGACCGCGGATGGGCCACGGGAGAGATGAGTTGGGCCGGGCGGCGTTGCCGGTTTCGGCGGGGACGGAGACACAAAGCGGGGCCGGGATGCAGGCGAGGCAGGAGCAAAGGGTGCAGGGCAGGCAGTACCGGTTCAATTCGTACGGGGTAGCCGAGACCGGGGTAGCCGAGACCGGGCGGCGTGCGTACGTGGGGGCGGCGCGGGTGGAACCGATCGTGGACGGGTGGAACAGGTACGCGGTGGTGCGGCACGGCAAGCTGTACATGTCGGAGACGTTCGAGGCGCGTCTGAACGAGGAGGTGGCCGGGAGGATCCACGCGCGGCACCCGGAGCTGTTCGGGCACGTGCAAGGCGAGTGCGGCGGGGCGGGCGAGGTGTCGTTCTCGTTCAAGACGAGCCCGGTGGTGCAGGCCGAGCTGGAGATCGTGACGCGGTGCGGGCCGACGGGCAGCAGCTGCACGCTGCGCCCGCGCATCGACGACCTGCGCCGGCTGCAGGTCAACGTCGCGGCCGGCGGCGGGCGCGGCGAGCACTACCTCACGGCCGAGGGGACGCGCGAGAGCGAGCGCGTCACGTGGGGCCCGCTCGTCGGCCCGCTCAAGGTCGTCCTGCTCGAGGACTCGCTGCTCGCGCTCAAGAAGACGTGCGTCCGCGCGCGCGCGGGCGGCACGCGCATCGTGTCGGTCGCGCAGGTCAAGGCCATGTGGGGAGAGGTGCAGGGAGAGGTGCAGGGAGGGGAGGGAGGGGAGGCGGGGAATGCGTTTGACGTGTTTCGGTATGACGCGCAGCCGCGGCATCACATTGACGCGCGGCGGTACAATTGATTGGGGGTGTGCGTAATGAGTAATTACAGACAGGAGGTGACGTAGTGTACACGTGTAAAGATCTGAATGTGGAAAAGTCATTCTTTTCCGGAACCCGCTTTTCCGGGAGGCCTCGGCGGAGGGGGGCCCACGGCGGGCCATTTACAGTAAGCGTAAGAGGTGCAACGACATGAGGTCAGGGCTACAGGGCTGCGGCAGTGCGCCTCGCAGCAACCGGCCCTGCGCCGTGTCATCCCCGTGTTTCTATTCCATGAATTGCTCCTACGCGGCCAACGCACAGCCCCTTCAGTACACACCCGCTACACACCCGCTATAAACCCCCTACTGTATGCACCTCAAAAGGACATTGAATAAACAACTCCCTCATACAGCCCCGCCCCGTCTACAACAAACTGCCCGCTGGGCTCGCCCCCAGTGCACCGCCTTAGCCCGCGACTCTGTTTATACTACTCCTCTCTATCACGCCCCCTCGGCCGGTGCTTCGACGCGTGTGTGGGTAGAGACACCCACAGA